ACCAGGGTAACACTTTAGTTTAAGTACCAATTTCCACTAGCTTATTGCCTGCTTAATATTATGATATTTGGCTGTTTATGAACACTTATAAAGTATGATCTTATACTAGTCATTCTACAATCTTATTTAACCCAACTACTATGTTATTAACTATTAATAAGCAGAAAAATTGTAATTTATTGATGTAAAACCTTAGTTTGCTTTATTATAGGTAAAAATTGTACCTCAAATTAAAGTGTGACCCTAACCTGTTATATAATATAAAACCATAATTGGAGTAAGGGTGGCACGGTGGCTCAGTGGTTAGCACTCGCCTCACAGCAAGTAGGTAGCTGTAGTGCGGTCCCCCACAGTCCAAAGACATGCGTTAAGTGAATTGGATGAACTATATTGGCCATAGTGTACAAGTGTGTGTGTGTGAATGTGAGAGTGTAAGGGTGTTTCCCAGTGCTGTGTTGTGGCTGGAAGGGCAAACCATATCTCAGAATATTTGCCGGTTCCTCACTCTGATAAATAAGGGACTAAGCCGAAAGAAAATGAATGATTAATGAATAATTGTAGTGTATATTATAATTTATTATTAAAAAATGCTAACTATTTAGTTTCATGTTTATGTTATTAACTAAGACTATTGGCTCACTAAACTACTAATTTTCTTTTTTTATGAATAGTTTGTACACTTTCAGAAGAAATGGGGTACTCACTAGAATAGGACCTTTTTACAATGTACATTTTTGTTCCTAAGAGGTCCTTAAAGGTACATATTAATAGCAAAAAAGTACAAATGTGTATCTCATAGTACATTAAGGGTACAAAATTGAACCTTCAAATTTACAAAATTGAACCGTAAAAACAAGTCAGTCTCGCTGCTTTAAACCTGCTTGACTGCTTGAAATGACCGTGGCACTAATTTGCAGAAGGACTGCAGGGTAAATTTCCCTTCCCTCTTCCTCTGGTGACATAAACTGACCTGCTCCATGTTCTTTTAAACAGTACTAATCAAAATCATAGGCAAGATTGTCGCCTACCATGTGAAGTCCACTTCGTATCAGGCAACTGGAACTAACCCAAAGTCTTTGATGAGCTATAACAATAAATACATGGTTATTACAGCTTTAAAAAACTGCTGCCGCCATACTGGAAAACTTCATTTTGTGTAGGTCAAAGTCTCAAAATAAATTCAACACAACGTCATAAACATAAAGCCAAGTTCCACAGAGAACACTGTTCATTTTTAGGAGACCTTGAGTGCCACTATTCCTCCAGAAAATGCAGAGTGAGCAACCAAGTCCACCCTGAAGGGCATAGACCAAAGTTATAACCCTTTTGAGACACCATTGTTGCTTTATCACGCCGCCTGCTTGACATCATGGACCTGAGGTATTGCTTATCAAATGAGGAACACCATGAGAACACACTTTACCGTTTTACCAAAAGACCTCTTGTGTCATATTGAATGAATAGGTGTAGCATTTCATCTGGACGCGCTCCACTGAGGGGATGAATAATGCAGGGAAGGTTCGGTTGGACTCAAAAATTGACACAACAATGGCACACAACAGTGAAACCATTTGGCACAACGCGCACTCAGCCGCGACAGAAATGTTGTTCCTGTTGAACCCAGACCTTATCCTTGCAATAAACCCAGACTTGATTCAAGTTTCCACAACAAACTGAACATAACTTCTGAATGGGCTACATGCACAGCTAGGGTTTTTCAGCCAATGGTAAACTTCCAGAGACAGGTTAATGTGATCATTTTCAATTTTATTAGGTTCATTTTACAGCATAGACATTGTAATGTAATTCAAAAACATTAAGATAAAAAGACTTAAGCATTAATTTAATTGTTCAATCGTAAAACAAGTTGAAAGACAGTGTAAACACTAGCACCATCGATAGCAGCAGGTTAGCGCAGAAACGCCATTGAAAAAATGTTCATATTTTAAAGACATGGCGGTGAAAAATTTAATTTGATGCAGTGCTTCTTGTCCAATTTGAGGCCCACTTTATATCTCATATCTATCAAATAGTAAAGATCACTGATTTCTCAGGAAATCAGATCTTAAACATGGTGATTTTGTAGAGGAAAGACAGCGGGAGCGCTTAAGCTGGCTGACTGAAAATTAAAAGTCCCTGTACATATACCACATTGATGGAAACTCATCTGTTCAGCTCAATTGAAGGGTCATCTAAGTAAAGGACTACAATTTCCTCCTCCAACTCCCACATGTTCATGTCCACACTGTTTAAAAAAAACTCAAACATAAAGAAGAACCCTTAAGAAGGTTTGACTGCTGTAGCGATAACTATTAAAGCAAAATCCTCATTTTAATGCTTAGAGAATAGATAAGCTTACAACACAATAGGAAGATCAAAGAACAGTACTGTTAAAATACACTTTGAGTTAGAGATGTAGTATCTGTAGCATAGTCATATTGCAGCATCTGCAACCAATGTTGAGTCATGATTATGGTTGACAAGGCTGTAAAGTTTAGAACATGTCATCTGTGGAGTCATTGCAAAATTGAATCATAAAAGAGAGAATGTTTATATATATATATATATATATATATATATATATATATATATATATATATATATATATATATATATATATATATATATATATATATATATATATATATATATATATATATATTTTTTTTTTTTTTTTTTTTATATGGTGTTATTTTATTTATTTACCAGAAAACCCCAAAGCGATGGTTATTTCATTTTTGCTCTATTGCATTGAATATTTAATCTATTGTATTTATCCATGCTTACAATTTTATTAATATATTTTATGCAGATGTACTCTTATACAAAATTATCCTGATTGACCTAAAATTATAAATTCTTGTCAAATTGAGCTATTATAAACATATAATCGCTGTTAAAATTATCAATGTGTCAGCTTTTTATCAAATATCACGAATACGGGAGTTTGCAAACAGATACAGACAACAATGCAAGTTATGTGCATTATTAGTCAAAAACTAAATCAAGACTCCAATATTTCAATCCAAAATATTTAAAATCATGATAAAATGTACGATTTTACTTCCATATTTTGACCATTTTAAAGTGACAACACTCCCTATTATTCAGATGAGTCGCTGTTTAATTCTTTTCATTAACATTTGTAAAAAGATTATTTTTTTAGAAATATCAATGAGATTTATATTACAGAAACAGGAATCGAATCAGGAATTAAACTAAAACTAAATGTTTGTGAATCAGAATCAAACTGAATCATGACATTTGAATCAAGAGCTGCGAGGACGTATGATGGTTTTACTTATTTGTTGACCAAACATCACAGGTGAGAAGTGATTGTAGAAATCCAGCATAAATACCAGAAAACATCTTCTTTTTTCACTAGACAATACTATTATTTAATCTAAAAACATGTATATTAGGGCTTTGCAATATGACAATATAGATTGTTTGTACAAAATAAAAAAGATCTATCATTTTGTTTTATGTCATGTTGTTTATTTTGTGGTGATGGATGACCACAATCTTTACGCCACAGAGGGCTGCAGGGAGAACAGAAATAACAGCATGAAAATAAAATGTGAAACTACAGTCTGTACATTTTTATTTTTATTTAGCAAATACTTCATGTTGTACCATTAATCGTTAGTTTATAAAAGTGTTTTATATTTTATTTGTATTTATTTTCGATTTCAACATATTTAATTAAAAATTTGTCAAGATATTCTAAATATATTATGAAAAATAATCACATATGAACGAACACATTTTTAAGTATATACTTAAAAAATAATAATAATTTCCTTGTGGTCAGTTAATAGAATAATAATAGATTGAATGTATATAAAAGTTTCAATCTTGTGATAGATATCATCAGAATACGAGTTAACTTGTATTGAGATTTTTTTCAATTGTGGTAAAGTTGATTTTATATTTGCAGATTAATTTACTGACAACTTTTGATATGCTCCATATATTGTTCACCATGGTTCTTTGAATATTTGGCTTAAAATCACATATAAGCATGACGTTGAAACAACATTATCACTATTTATTTGATTGTGGACAATGTTGTAATATGATAGTAATTAGCTGATAATATGATTTTGCAATTTAGATGTGCAAAGAATGTTTTTCTGAAATTACATTATTAGGGAGAAAGTCTGAAAAAAAAAAAAAACTTTACCTAAATTTCTCCAAACTCTAATATGCATGGATGAATTATTCATAAGATTTTTTTAAATGCATTTGAAGGTTGACTTGCAGATTTATCTCATAAAACTGTAGCCTACTGTAAATATTTGAATAAATCCCTAGTCTGTGTACTATAAAATTTGATAACAAACTGACCTTTAAATGTCAATCAAATACAAGAAGACACAAGAAATGTGCTCAGACTTCACAAAGAATCAATCAAAAACATAACTTAAAAAGATGAGAGATAGTTTGCAAAGCAGTGGACATTTACAATACGATTTTAAGGCTGATGATCCCACAAAGACTGATAAAGCTTAGTTGTAAATATTTGAATAAAACACTGGATTATGATGTGGTGACATCCTACTAGACTTTTTGATAACAAACTGACCTTTAGTTGTCAATCAAACACAACATGATACTAAAATGGGGTCAGGCTCCAATAAGATCTTATCAAAGATCTAGCTAAAATATATGAAAGGTTATTTCCAAAACAGAGGAGCTTTAGAATAGGCGTTAAAGCACACAACACTTTCTTTACCACACTGACCCACAAAATACAGCACTGAGATGAGGGCAGACAGACTCGTTTGGCTGGAGACGTGACACCCAAGCGTGTTTTGACATCAACCCAGAGCAAAAGCATTTTCTCTGGCAACCTGTCAAAGCCCAGTTATGACCCATCAGCATGTGTCATCCAGCACAGCCACATCAGCAGGACTCAACTCAGCCTTCAACACACGAATAATGGTTATCAGGCGTCGATATGTGTGTAAAGGTGTCAGTAAAGGATCAGCTCTGACCTGGAGAGATGTTTCAGGATCTGTTTCTTGATCAATCCAGCCATGACCGGTATCTCTTTAATCACTTATCAAAGGACGACCGGCAGATATTGGAAGCTGTACATTTTAGGTATTCCTCCGGTCAGCCAGAGTGTTTTCTTGTGGACTGGAAAGCTTCATAAATGCAAAATATAAACATGACTGGCTGAGGCGTCCGCTGCTACCGCTTCACCGTCGGCTCCATGTTGAATGCGCAGTGACGCGTCGGTGGATGAGCGCGCATGCGCAAAAGCAGCATACGAAAATGAGGCTCGCCCAACTCGTTTCAGCCAATAGGAACCCGGCTGTTTGCGTCACAATATAATTTATTATAATACATATTTTATACTTAAATATATTATAAAAAATATAATTCATTTTTTTGCAAATATAACATGTATTACTATATATTTTTTTACAATTTACAAATAGATTTTATTGATGATAATAATAATATATAAAATTCAAATTTGAACCATTTTTGAAACAAATATATTTATGGAGGCAATTTCGTTTTTTATATCAAATAACTACATTAATAAATTATATTTAAATAATAAAATATTAATTTGATGAACAAAATTAATAAAAATTATTAATAAATTAATATATTATATTTTGTATTGCTTTAAAATTTAGATGATTATAATAATTATTATTGCTGTTGTATGTGTGTGCACACTTTAGTTTTGCTTTCTATTAATTGTGTGTATATGGATATGCAATATCTATGTACACAGTCAATGTCACAGAATATTCATTTATTCATTCATTTTCCTTTCAGCTTGGTCCCTTTGTCACTGTATATTTGCCATGCTTCCTACAATATTTTAAATAGGTCCTAGATATGCTTTGACCATCTTTAAAACAAAGATGCACATAAAATGTTTATTATATTTTACTGTATATTAGAACAGGAATAAACACTAATCAAAATGCTATAATAAATCTACTTATTATTATTAAGTATTATAATCAAATTAGTCATTTATTGAAGTAAAATGTTAGTTAATGCTTTATTAATGTTGAGAATTAATATGATACTTATTACTGACACAAAATAAAAAAAAATAAAAAAATATGCAATTATTTTACACAATTTAATATAGACACTACCGGTCCACATTTTGGGGCTTGAACGATTTTTAAATGTTTTAACATAAGTTTCTCCTGCTCACCAAGGCTGCATTTATTTATTTATCACCAAAAATACAGCGCAAATGTAAAATTGTGAAATATTTTTGCACTATAAAATAACTGTTCAAAAGTAGTTTATCATTTAATTTAATCATTTATTCCAGTGATTTTAATGATGAATTTTCAGCTTCGTAACTCCAGTCTTCAGAGTCACATGATCCTTCAGAAATCACTCTAATATCAATTATTATTATTATTAATAATAGTAATAGTAGTAAAAGCAACAACGACTGGAGTAATACATACAATACATACAACTACACACAATAAGAATATTTTTTTTAATTAATAAATATTTAACAATTTAACATTTTTGTTACATTTAATAAATTCCACCTTGATGAACAAAATAATTGTCTTCAAAAAACCTTGAATGTTATATAAATAAATTAGCCTGAATGACGTTTACAACCTGGCCTGCTGTCCCTAATTGGTTTCGATGTGATTTAATGTAAGTAGTTATAAATAAACCTCATTAGAATTTAAATTATTATTAGTGTAACCGTTAGAGGGCGACAAAGGAACATAAACTAACAGTAATCACACAGTCGTTCAATACATTACACAAACATTTTCACACAAAATCACACACATTTTATTAGTATAGTTCAGACTAGGACAGTTACAAAAGTAAGCAGTTTACAAAAATAACTATTTAGTCCATTTGCAAAAGATGTTTAACCTTAAGCAGAGTTATAAAATGATTGGAGGCAGCCCATGTTATTTTAACACATCATAAAAAATTGAAACAACTATTTGCATCACATTGCATACTTATAAATTTGTGACATTTAATAAACAGCTCAGTGTTAGTCTAAAATAAGTAGATGATGAGCTTCTTTCAAATTCTATAATTGACAGATATGCAGTACATTCGCATAGTCACGTACACCATCCAGCCAACATACAGAAGTGAACGTGTGTGTTCTCTCTGCTGGTGATGGCAGTCCCTAAAAAGACACGCTTCCAGTTCATTTCTGTTTATTGTGCATAAAAAGAAAACAGAGTGCAGTGTGAATACCCATTTGGATAACACAAAGAAGAAGTTCAGTTCCAGCCGCTTCGCTTCATGTTGTCAAAAAGCTCCTTGACTCTGTGCATGTTCTCTTTCAGATTAGATGGGGCATCTGTCTGCTCCAGCTTCTGAAAAATCTGCAGACAGCATTAAAAAAAAATCATTACACGACACTATAAATAATAAACGTTCTTCGTTGAAACAAGTAGGCCTGGTAACATTTGAAATGAGCTATATACAATTCTGAAACTCTCGTTATTAGTAACACATTTAAAGACATTTAGTTGCAAACAATAAAATTCCTCACCATTTCCTCACTAGTTTCTACAGTTTTAATGCACTATGCTAAACACAAAATAAGAGCCATTTATACATTCATTTTCCTTTGGCTTAGTTTCTATATTTAGAGGTCGCCACAGTGGAATGAACCGCCAACTATTCCAGCTGTTTTTTTACGCAGCAGATACCCTTCCAGTCGCGACCTAGTTCTGGAAAACACCCATTCACACTCATTCACACAACACGGACAATTTTGTTTATTCAATTCACCTACAGCGCATGTCTTTGGACAGTAGGGGAAACTGGTGAACCCGGGGGAAACCCACACCAACACAGGGAGAACATCCAAACTGCACACAAAAATGCCAACTGGCCCAGCTGGGACTCAAACCAGTGACCTTCCTGCTGTGAGGTGACAGTGCTAACCAATTAGCCACCATGCCGCCCCCAAAAAACAGCCATAGTAGAAAGAAAATAACTATGGAATGGCTGTTTTTTCAACTTTCTTCAGTATATTTTCCCTTATGTTAAACAGAAGAAAGAAACTCAAACTGGTTTGGAACAAGTGGAGGGTGAGTAAATGATGGTAGATTTTTCATTTTTGGGTGAACTATCCCTTTAAGTGAACAACGATATTGAGAGAGAAAACGTACATCTTTTATTAACCACATCATTTCAGTATATTGAATTCTAAGATGTGTTCCCATAAAATACCAATAGGCAATTATATTACAAGCACTGCTAAACTAAAATAATGGTGGATTCAAGCACTGCTAAACTAAAATAATAGTGGCCCTTATAGTCTAACATGATTATGGATTATTTAAATAACATAAATATTGAATTGTTTTATCTACTAAATGAGACATTCAAGTATAAAAAAGGGTTCTTTTTAAACCTGTTTGTCAGGTTATTAAAATTCTTACACAAAGAATAAAATATTTTAAAAAGTTTACTGGGGAACCAATAATGACTTTTATATCAAACTGTGAAAATATTTATACGTGTTTTCATAACTGTTAATAATTAAAGGTCTCATTTATTTCAGAGTGAAAAGTCACCAAACCTCATTGACATTCAGAACACAAATGAAGATATTTTAAAACCTGAAAGATGCAAATGAATCACTTTCTGTCCCACCATTGAAACTCTCTTCATCCAACACTCATTTGTAAATGCACCCCACCTGCGTAATGTCCAAGAACAAACCTCATTGGTTTTTATTACTCAAGCTCAAACATGCCGTGTGACATGCAAGAATGAATCTGGTAGAGGGAACTAATCCTTTAAAAAATTATTGTAATCTACAATTGCTTTTGGTATATCTAAAACCTCACCACGCAAGTTTCGAAAGATTTCTAGGCTAGTGTTTCTCAACCAGGTTGCCTTTGGGACCCAGATTGTCACTGGTCATTTAGAGTAATAGTTCACCCAAATATTCAATTTTATTCCCTATTTATTGACCCTCAATTGGTTCCACACCTTTATGAGTTTCTTTATTTTCATAAACACAAAAGAAGATATTTTTTAAAAAGCTGAAAACCAATGACCAATGGTTACAGGTTCTCAACTTTTTTTTTTAAATATTTTCTTTTTTATTAAACAGAAGAAAGAAAGACAAACAGGTTTTGAACAAATAACTGAATTTTGAGTTTTGGGTGATATGTATATATAAGAGCTGCACGATATTGGAAAAAATGACATTGCAATATTAAAGTTTTCTGTGATACATAATGTGTGACATCATGTATAATTTTACTGGAAGAAATAAATGGCCTAATATGGTAAGAATTCATAATTTTATATTAATTGAGATAATTTTGTAGGGAATTGCATCTGCACAAAATATACTAAACCAATCAAGTGTGTTGATAACAGCAGTACAGCAAATATACAAACTAAATACTAAAGTTACAATCATTATAATTTTGTGTGCCTGAATGCTTAACATTGCAGATCCTGTGATGTGACTAATACGGATGTGCATATTGCGATATCGATGCTGAAACAATATATTGTGCATCACTAATATATAATTATATATATATATATATATATATATATATATATATATATATATATATATAAAAATTGTTGATACTAACAGTCGTTTAAAAAAATTTGTTAAAAAAATTTCATACTGATCATTTCTTTTGCAATTTGTTCACAATGTAATGATGTACCAGAGATATATACTGTACACTATACACTAGCGCCACCACATTTGTACAGTGCTCCCAGGACCAATGTCATTCAACTGCACTAGTCAAGACTAAAGCCAATGTAAATATGCTGGACTTTAGTGCTGTGTACGTTTGTAGTATTGAGCAAACAAAGAAAACAAAGAACATTTCATAGGTAAGATTAAGGTTTTTATGTTTTTGTTTGTTACAATTTCCCAGAAATGGGTTGCGGCTGGAAGGGCATCTGCTGCGTAAAAACTTGCTGGATAAGTTGGCGGTTCATTCCACTGTGGCGACCCCAAATTAATAAAGGGACTAAGCCGACAAGAAAATGAATGAATGAATGAATGTTTGTTACAAACTTTTGTGCTCAACAAGTATTGTTGATAATACAATCTCTTACAGCCCTGACCATAAGGCAAAGTAGCACCAATTCTCACTACATACTAGTTATGCTAGTTTTGTTGAATAAAATCAGCAAACAGTGTCACTGAAATATGACAACGAGATGCTGCGGTGCCAGAAACTTGTATTATTGTCGGCTAAGT